AATTGGGCTTTTTTTCACTCATCGTAAGAGTTGTACTAATCCCCAAAAGGCCGGTAACGCACTTGTAACGCCTCTGATGTTCCTGGTGTCCATGGGCGACGCCGATTGCTTACCATCAGGTGATCCGTCTCCTGATTGATTTACCGGCTTATACCATAAAAGACACAGCAGCAATTTAATGGTTAATTTAAGTAGTCAGACACCCACGGTTTCATATCTGGCGTATATTTTACAGGAGGCAAGTCATATGGTAATACTAAAGACATCGGAGGAGATCTGACTTCACCCTGGTCAAGAAAGAAGTAATCTTTGCTTATCTGTAATAAAAAAAACATATAAATTTAAAATAAAAACAAGCCTTTATTCACTATAACAAAAATCTATGAAAAGTTTAAGGTCTCTGTAAAGGGCGCGCAGCGCGGCGAGACGGGACGGCGACGCGACTGAGCAGTTGTAATGTACTAGATACAGTGAAACTTGGTTAAGTGGGACCTGGATAAGTGAGAAACCTCCATAACTGGAACTCATGCTGAGGTCCCAACACTTTGGCACTGAATTACCTCTGTTAGTGGAACGAGGTAAACTCTATATCTGGGATTTGTTCTTTCGATTTATCATCATAGTTACCTCTATAACTGAGATAGCGAGTAAATTTTATATACATAAACCTCTGTAACTGAGATAACATTGTTTGTTTACTCATTCTTATTCTACCCACAAATTCCATATGTAATTCCAAGTCCACCTCTATTAATTGAACCGTCTGTAAATGAGACAGATATTATTTATACCTGTATATCTGAGACACTTGGTACGTGGAATCCTTACTATTATAAATGGGAAAGTGAGTTTGTTTGTTTGTTTGTTTGTTTGTTTGTTCCGCTTTCACGCCGTAACTACTAAACCGATTGCTTTGAATTTTTGCAGGCGTAAAGTAAGAAGTCCGGATTAAAATAGGGTACTTTTTATCCCGGAAAATGTTGATATTTCCGAGGGAAAACAAAAGAATTGGTATAGATGGCGCTGTGTGTATTGGTATATGTCACATAGGCTACTTTTATCCTATTGTGACGCGAGCGAAGCTGCGGGTAAAAGCTAGTACCTCTATAAGTGAAACGACATTGCAGGTCCCTTGATGTCTCCCTTAACCAGGTCTCACTTACGGACAACACCACACGACCCGTCTGTTCCCGTCGCGTCGAGCGAGACGACTCTGTCATCACAGTATCACACACATCACACACAGACACGGAGCAACTATAGTGGATCACACACAGAGTTGCTCCGTACGGGAATCGAACCCGCTACCCGTTGCACGGCAGCCAGTTGCCCAGCCACCACGCCAACCGTGCAGTCAACTGAGTAACAAACATACAAACGCATTTATAATATTAGTAGAAGTAGAATTATAGATAGCTTTTTTTAAATGGGGTAAGCACGCCACAACCTCTCAAAACCGCTGCAACTCCTGTAAGCCAGGATCTACAGTAGATACAACCATGAAAACACCGGAACACTGAAGTCCAACGTCTCAGGGACATGAACAACTGTCTTGGTTCCCGCAACGAAGTGAATCAGAAGATATTATAAGAGAAGAAGAAAAAAACGACAGATTCCACTTCCCTCGGTAAATTACTGCGGGAGACAGAACGAATTAAGCCTAAAGGCACAAAGAAGAGACTGTACAACTGGGTGAAGCCCGGTCGCCAAGCACCACGGAAATTTGACTAAAAACTAAGTGGGTCCTATGTGTGAGCTGTTATACTTGCTTCCAATAATAGGTATGGCAACAGCGCCTTATAGATACCTTGCTACTTACCACAAATTTAGGTAGAAACAAGACTCCAGCTTCATAGCTCATGATCCTTAAGGCGCCGTTACCCTTATTCACCTGCCCCCAAGCCGCCTTACTGATATTGGCCGACGTTAGGAGATAGAATGCCGCCTTATCATTTAAAACTCGCGTATACGACTTTATATGTGGCATGGCTTGGTTTCTGCTTGTTATCTTCGCTTGCCATTGACTGAAAAAGATATAATATGTAACATAATATCACGTCTTTTATCCCCGAAGCGGTAGGCACTTAATGCCACTGTACAATGTAACGCCCACTTTTCACTATTTATGTTATGAGTCCCATGTAATAGGAGGTGAGCTTATTGCCATATACTGGGCACATTTCCAGACTCCGTGCTGCTACTGGGATTTTTTTTAAAACCCTGGGTAACCGGATGACAGGGTATGAAAATTAAAAATCTTATTAGTCCGTCAGCTAAGTAATGAAAAAATATTAGACACGTATTTTTTTATTTTGTCGTATAATAAAACAAACAATACTTAGATAAAACGAATCAAAGTTTAGGAGTGGGGGCTAAAACGTCATTTCTACGTATAAAATGTACATAGAAGTGACGTCACGCGACATTTCAAATCAATATATCGTCGAAAGTATTCGTTTCTGTAAGAAAATAAAAAATACGTGTCTAATGATTTAAAATAATCTACCAGACGGACATTAAAATAAAAATTAGGCATCTACCCTATT